GCTGCCACGCGCACGAGCCGCGTGGCATCGTGTTGGCGGAGGGACTGCGTCGTCTTGGCGTCGTCGACAGCTTGCACGACGCGGGGCGCATCGAGCACGTGGTTGGTTGCGTTCAGAATGAGGCTGTGGCCCTTGCTATCATGGACCGTGAGGCGCCACGCGTGTTGAGCCATGGGTCGGAGGCGGACGTGCGCGAGGCCAGCTTGCACGTCGTCGAGCGAGCCAAAGTTGCTCAACACAAACGGCACAAGCGCGGTAATGACGGGGCGCCCGTCGGCGCCGGCAGGCACTGGGATCGACGTGCCCCAGTCGAGGAGAGCCGCGGAGAGGCCCGCTTCGTTGATGCCGTCGAGGATCACGTTGTGTGCGTGCAGCGCAACGTAGCCGTACTGCGACGTCCACGCAAAGGCCGCGTCGTAAAGGCGCTCGCCGCGGGGTACGATCTCAATCGTTGTGCTCTCGAGACCGATGGGGAAGGTGCGTGCCGAGACGAGGCTCGATGGCGACGACTGCACAATGACGTCGATGGACGCCTGGGTGAGCGACACAAGGGCGAAGACGGCGAGAGCGAGGCGCATCGTCGTAGACAGGAGGTGTTGGCAGGAATGCCCAAAGATACGACTTGGCACTTTCTAGCCGGATCAGAAAAACGCAGCATGTCGTCGCTCGGTGATTGGCCAGTAATTCGAAGCCTATCGTTTGACGCAGCCGCCGAGGGCTTGAAGGTCACTAGCTTAGCGTGCCCAACAACAAGCTACGCAACATACCGGCAAGACGGAATGCGGGTAGCAAGGGGCCCTTGGGGTAGGGAGCTCGACGGAGAAGCCCACAAAAATCCAAGCACCAATCAGCGTCGCGTGTAGCCAAGTGCAAGGTCAGGCATCAGGTGCCAGGCGACATCACCTAAATCGGATTTTTGCCGCTATAGAAATCGGTAAAGTCCTACCGGAAGGAGGGACAGAGAGTGCAAGCCAGGACAACGCGGATCGGCAAGGACAATGTGTACACAATTGACATCATTTATAAACGGCGCAACGTCATTTACTCGCGTAGATGTACGGACTCATATTACTTGATATTGTTGAAATTTATCGGGCGGGGCGCCAATGACGCCGTTGACGGAGCTCTTGCACTCGACACCCTGGGAGCCGGGGGCAATGAACTGACCGCTCGGAATGAACCAGCAGTGACCACGCGCAATGCCGCCCTTGACGGTGGCCGGGAGGTCGTTGCCGGCAAAGCTCCACTGCTTGTCAAAGGTGGCAAATTGCACCTTGAGCCACTCCTTGGAGAAGCTGAGCTCCATGAAGCCGTACGGGTTGCCACTGGCCGTCCAGACGCTAAGACATATACAGTTGAGCACACAAGAACGCTTGGTATCGAGGCACATACTTTTTGACGATGGCGTCCGAGCCGGCGTTGGAGGCCTTGGTGACGATGCCGCCACCCCCGCCGTTCTCCATGAGATGCGTGCCAAAGGTGCTGATGCCGTGGTCAAAGCCGTGCGTGTGGCCGTTGATCCAGAGACTGGCGTTGCCGGCCTTGAGCACATCGTACCTGGCCTTAAGTTAGATATCCCATTCGTGTTTCCCCACGTGGAAAACATTGTCTATCGTACCATTTCTTGGCGCGCTCGGGGTTCATGTGGTAGAGCGGGCTAAAGTGCGTGTTGACGATCTTGAACGTCGCCTTGGACGCCTTCATGTCCTTGAGCGCTTGCGTGAGCGAGTCTTGGGCCCAGCCCTCGAGCGTCTCCATGCACGTGTTGTACATCTCGGCACTGCCACCCGCGCACATCTTGCTGCCGACTTTAACGTCGTCGCACTTGGTGCTGTCGTAGTCGTACTTGTACGAGTAGCCAAAGCACTGGCAGCACACTTGGGACGCGCCATGGTTGTCGGCGTGGTTGGTGTCGACGTTGAAGATGTCGACCGAGACGCCGTTCTTGGAGACCGAGTGGACGAAATAGTGGTCTTTCAGGAGCCACCTAATCCGAATATATAGTGTCACTTCTAAACGTCATATCGATAGAGAGAGAAAGAGTTGTGGCGTACCGGTTGTTGTTGGGACTCACATAGTTCTTTTGCAAGTCGAAGCGCTCCTTGAGGTACTTGGACATCATGGCCGTGTCTTCGCACTCGAAAAAGTTGTCGTCCTTGTCCCAGCCGTCGCCGCAGATAAAGTGCGCGCCACCAATGTCGTGGTTGCCAATGACGTTGACCCACGGCACGGCCATGAGCGCCGGGTCGTTGTACGTGTCTTCAAACGTGTCTTGGAACCGGTACTTGTGGTTGTTCTTCGCAATGCCGTTCCAGTAAAAGTTGTCGCCGTGACTCAAGACCGCGAGCGGCTTGAGCTCCTTCGCCGACATGCCCATGAGCGCGGCCACGTGCTTCTGCGCCCAAAAGTCGACCTTGAAGCGCGCCGTCTCGGGCTGGATCTT